AAAAGCCAAGGCCGTACAAGCCCGTGGATCGTGAGTTGGTGGTTGCGGCAGGATAGGGTTCCTGTCAGTGCTTCTAAAAGTTGAGTGTTTAGATTTCTGTACTTAGCTAATTGTGAACCAGTACTGGTTTGTGGACCGGCCTGCAGGTCCGTCTGTCTGAGCCATTGGTCAGCCAGGACACAAGGAGTGCAATGCGCACTACCTGAAGGATGGACATATTTGAAACACGGACTTCGGTGGGGGGGGGGGGAGGGCGGCGGGAGGAGGGGAGAGGAGGGAGGAGGGGATGGGTATTTGTATACACAAGGAGTGCAATGCACACTACCCGAAGGAAGGACATATGTGAAATATGGACTGGGGGGGGTATCAAGGGCAACACACGTAACCTAAACATCTGTACCCCTATAATATGCTGAAAAAAAAATGGAATAAAAAAAAAAGATGACTAGAAAACATTTATTTTGGATATACTCAATTTGGTCCTGATTAAAACAGAAGGTCAAGTTTTCTACATGATTAAACTCCAATTTTCTGCTCAACTTCATTGGAACTGTGGATCAAACTATTATATATTATAAATGTACTATAATGTTTTGTGGGGATGGCCCCTCTAGGAAACCTAATCTATTCCAATTAAGATTAAAAAACCATAAATGCCAAATAAAAACTTTTAAATCCTTTAGGAGACATACTAGTTATTACGTTGCACTTATTTCTGAAATTATTCTGGTGGGAGATACATCACAGAAGTGAGATAAGACCTATGAGATCAGGAAGTTTTTCATATACATGCATTGTGTTGGTGAGTCTTCACACTTGGTGCATATGGAATAGTTTCTATTGGGCACAATTGCTCAAAGACTGCTTGCTAAGTTTCACTCCTGCTGCTTACCTCATGGACAATAGGGGTAACATTCTTCTGGTCCCCCAGAAACCATTACATCTCACTTGATGTCCTAGCTTTTTTCTGTCCTAAGCATTTTGCTGAGACTACTACTTTTTGGGCTTCTCACCACCCATCTTCATAGGGAAATAGGAACAGAGATATGGACAACTTTTCCTTAAGTCTTTCTGAGCTAATGTAGTCCTCTTTACAAAACCAAG